CCTATATGATCCATGTTCGACCACCAGGTTGTCGTTGTTTAAAAGGGGGTTTAGGAAAAGGTCAGGAATTCTCATTGTTGAACTACTGCTAAGCCTGGCCAATGTTGAAAGCCATAGATCACTAGGGCTTTACTGATAAGGGAATCAATGGGCTAGTTAAATAACAATGTAAATCGCCACATTTTAGCCGGGAACAACCTCATCCTTCAAAGATCTGTCAGTCTCCTTAGATATACATTGGCTAACAAACAGACGAAGACTCATGATAACATACACCACTGGACACTCCATCTCTTAATCCATTTGACAACTCTACAGTCGCATACTACCCTTTGTCTCTGTAGTAACGGGCCAACTATGTGCCCACATTATACGCCAAGTCGGATCTCAACTAGGGAGGTCATTTAGGTAAAAAGGGTTAATTTAAGTGTACATATAATGTATGCCAAAACCCAGATTGTTATTCAAACATAGGCTGATCCGGGCCCTCTATGAAGAAAGCAAACGAACCTTCTCTCTACGTACTCATTTCGCAATCTGCATACCTAACGTGGCCACAGCCAATTTGCTGATCTGGTTTAAAGCCAATGTGTAGCTGTGTATAACGTCATATGGAAGAGAAAATCGTGAAGAAGCCAAGATTGCAAATTCCAAAGTGTAAAGAGCGTGCGTATGATGGTTGCTAGTTTATCACTTAGCGGTGAATCGCTTAACGCGCACACGCCCAATCCTTCTCAGTTGGTCTTAGCTAATTTAGTTGACTTGTTGGGACGAAAGGGGTGTGGCATCATCGCCTTCAATAAGAATGGCACGTTCCTTCGCACTCATCGTGTGCCTGTGAGTCTGGGTTCGCTTCAAAAGAATATGAATCTCATGATGTTGATGAATGAAGGAATTCCATGTGCGCATGTTTCATTATTACCCAACGCTTAATCCCTTAATGAATTGCGTCTAATTGAGCTCATCACATTATACTACATATGGGTGTGTTCTCTGTCGAATGTATGAGGTTATCATGGTACAGGTGAAATTCGTTGAATTTGTCTTGGGATTTGCAACCCCCGTCCGCGGCGTCGCTTAAGTCATTTTAGAAGTCCATTGTGGATGCCATCGCTCAACAGATGTAAACAATATGAACGGTTACATCTCATCACTTGAATCAACAGCCTGAACGTAAACAATTGAGGTAGCACTACTAGCGAGTGCTCAACATCACCAATGACACATGGATCCGGTTCTTCCAAAGCGTATATGCAGTGCGCGCATGATTGTCATAGCAATAACGGGAAACAAGGAATTGTCATGGCGATCGAGAAAGAAAGTTCAAAAGTCAACAACAACAACAAACGTTTTATGGCTCATTCGAAGCAATCAAAGATAAAGACAAGGCATGTCCAGTTGTGCTCTCCCACAAATGGTCGCCTGGAACGATTTCAAATTCAACAGCTGCCCACCACTCATTTCCATGTTGTCCCCATTCGGAGGAACATGATGAAATTGAAGGGAGAATTTTCCGGCCGATCATGCTGCTTTTGCTGTTACTGTTGCTGTTTTGTTTGTTTTGTTCCTGCTACAACCGCATGTTTACGAATTTCGCCCTGTTATCGTATAGCAGAATACCGTCAGAAGGCGGTCTCTCAACAGTGGTTTTTCTATGCAAAACAGAGCGGAAAACATAGCAGACGAAGTTTAAAGTTTTCCCGAATTTGGATATAAACATTTCAATTCCAAAGTATAAAGAAACTCTAAAAACCCCCAGAGTTCCTCCTCTAATTTTAGCTGATCGACATTAGCAGGTGTTCTACCTATACATTAGGTATAGAGAGATATATATACGACTCAGGTTCGCCTATTTTGTGTCAGTTTCTGCTAGCGTGCACTGGTGCTGTGTGCGATAGAGGGATATAAGCGTTGAGGTTTCCGTGTACGCTACGTCGCAGGTATAGCAGTCGCAGTCATAGCAGTCACAGCCATAACAGTCACAGCCATAACAGTCACACCTGTGTGAAGTGAAGAGACACTGGTGCATAGAGAGGAGTTGTGCGTTCACTGTTTACTATTTGCAGAGATAGCCAGAACAGGGGCCTTCCGGTAAACACGATCACAATCTATTTAACAATTGAATTGACGTTTCCAGTTCTTCAAGACACATTGCTTGCTTTACTCGTCAGTGGCATTTCCGTCGGCCTGAGTGAAGATAGCAAACAAACCACATACGATCCATAACTATGTGGGACACATCTTCAAATGTAATACGCTCATGGATATTGGTGTTTTTCACTCTCAGTGCACAGGTTTATTGTTTGACGTCCTGTTCAACACAGAACAGTGGGTTGCAATCCACTCTTACGAGCTCGCTATATATGTCCAATGGTTTATGCCGGGATACGTGTAACGGAGGAGGGTACGCATATGCCATTGTCAACGGAGAGAGCTGTTACTGCTCGAACGAAGGACCAAGTTCAACGGTTGATTTGTCGCTGTGTGATGCTGAGTGTCCGGGCTATCCATACGAACAGTGTGGCGGTGGCTCGTACTACGGGTATATCCAGCTGAGGGCAGTTGATAGCACAACAGAGGATAGCACCACACAACAAACAAGCCAAACAACATCATCAACAACGAGTGCAACGCCATCGACAACAAGCACGACAAGCACAACGAGTGCAACACCGACAACATCAACAACTAATACTCCAACTACTCCAACAATTAATACATCAACAACTAATACACCAACATCAACAGCTAATACACCAACATCAACAGCTAATACACCTACATCAACAGCTAATACACCTACATCAACAGCTAATACACCTACATCAACAGCTAATACACCAACATCAACAGCTAATACACCTACATCAACAGCTAATACACCAACATCAACAACGAATTCACCAACAACGAATTCACCAACTACAACCAGCTCATCAAGAACTCAAAGAACAGCAACAGCGGCTGTTCCAACCACCACCGTTGTACCTGTTTCATGGAGAACAACGACCCTCTCCGCCAGTGAAACGACACTTACACAGAGCGGCTCACAGATTGTCGTTACATCGTACATCACGTCCGTGGCGACTGAGTCCGCCACACAGGTTGTCACTGCACACACAACAGTTGTTGTTTCTTATACGAGCACAGACTCTATGGCAAGCTCAACTTCCAACACCGGCACTGATCCGAGTTCAAGCTCCGCATCCAACGTTAACGTCAACGCTTCAAACAATTCTCAGAAGAATAATAATAACAACGACTCATTTTTTGACTCTGCAGGGAAAGTGGCCGGTGTGTTTACAGTTGTTGGTGTTGTTTGCGTGGGAATCATTGCATCCATAGTGTACTGCTGTTTCTTCAAGAGATCACATGACAACGATGATGACAGTGATAGTGATGACGATCTGGAGAGTCAAATGAAAGGAAAGAACGATGCGGCCATCACTCAACACAGTGTTGAGAACGAATCCAGCGATGATACAGTTGTTGGACATGGCATGGGACCGCATGGCAGACAGATGTCCATTGTTTCCACTGATTTTGGAACACCGATCATTGACCGCAGAGGTGACAGCACCTACGTTGATCAACGGTTAGATGTTGGCCATTTCAACGAAGAGGAGGAAGAGATCAAGAGCTTGAACGATAACGAGGACTATTCCAGAAAAGTGTGGAGAGTGATGAACCCCTGAGTCATATGAAATGGACCATGTAAGCACTAGCCTGTGAGAAGGGCTCAGTTCACCACAACTGTACACACATACCCACACATCAGTCCCGTCCACGCCCAGTCGAATCCCCCCTACAGTATGATCCACACGACAAGTCATCGGCAATCAGTTCCATGGACTCCTACGCTGTGTATGTATGACTCCCACGCTGTGTATTTATGACTCCCACGCTGTGTATGTATGACTTCATGTGTGGCTCTATTCAATGTGCATATATCTCTCAGATTTTACGATGTCTGAAGCTTTCGAAAGAGCTGGGAGAGTGAGGAGCACACACGAAAGGGTGGGACTATGGTCCCACAGAGCAGGACTGGAGTATTGAACAAAAGAGGGCTCTATAATTGGCAACTCGGCAAGTTTGGAGTTTAACCTTGAAAGTCTGTATGGCACGAGAAAATCTCATGACGAGCTTGCTTGAAACTTTGTGCAACGAGGGAAAAGGGTGAGGCCATCGGCGTTGTACTCGTCGTGTTCACATTTCTACAGAACTTTGGTTCCCGGGTGTATCTACGCTAGGATCACTTTGAATGCAGCGAATCTTCAGCTCACGCACAGTTTTAGCTTTGTCACGTCGTTGTCTTCCACCGGGCTTACGTCCCGGTGCCTGATCGTCAGATGGCGTGGCCCTACTGCCCATCGCGGCCGCCTTGACGACTCTTCCAGCTCCAAGCTGATGTACCCGTGATGTATATATCAACAACGTATTACCATATTCAACCAATTGTAGAATTCCAGGGGTCCAATGGCGATAGATGTTGTTGCTCTGCGACGGTGGAGAGTCCCCCTCCTTCACCACTGGAATTCTCTGGTGACCCAACAAAAACTTTCAAGTCCTTCTGATGTATGAAAAAAAGGCTAAAAAAGACCCCCCGGCAATCGCATGCAGCTCGTTGCCGTGACCCCAACTCTTTCCTTTTCGTGCTTTTTTCGTCCCGTTGCTAATGCTCACGCTCGCAATTTGCCGTGGGCGAGTGTCTGCTCAGTACGCCTCCGGGCCCTTAGCAATGCGCCAGAATTGGAGCAATGTGTGATTGAATGGAGCAGAGCTGGAA